TATGGCATTTTGGTGGGGTGCTTGATTGAGTAGTAATGCAAGGAGGTTAACATCCTCTTACCCTGGTTACCTAGGATCACCGATGTGTTTTGGCTGGGTAATCTGGTAAATTACCAGAGGCAGCCTACAAACTCAGGCTCATGTCTGAATACTGACATTCCACTTTCTGTGTCCTCTGAAAACCGTGTCTCACACTCTTACATACTGTCACCAGATGGCTTTCTCAGGCATTGCAGAAACCACAGGGGAGGGAGGCAATACTAGAATTTTTTCACTTGTGGGTAGAGCTGCCTCAGGGCCAGCCCCAGCATCTCCATGGTGCTGATCTCAAGGTCACTGTCTCTGCTGGATGTCACAGAGCTGACACCTCTCCTTGAGGCAGGTCAGCAAGCTCTGCATTTTCTTCTATATTCTCCATTGAGATGGCACTCAGTACAGATGACCGATCATTAATTTGATTAATTAATTAATCAAATCACAATTCAGTGCAGTGCAAAGATAGCCTGCTGTGATGAGCTGGGTGTCAGAATTGGTACCCAACATATGTAGAGCTCAAACCACAGCCTTGGGTTCGAATTTCAGACAATGCTTGGGAGTTATATACCCCCTCTCTCTCTGTGGTGCCCAGTCACTTGTTGGAAACATGTCTTTGCCACAGTCAGGACTCTGAGCTGGATTGTATGTGGGACCCTAGTCCCCTGAGCACAGACCTGACCATCATTTATTTCTATTTTCTGAGGCTGCAGTTGAGGCAGTTGTTTTAGACTAGAGGTTGGGAACCAGAGGTAACAGCCCATCATAAATAGCCTTGAAGTTCTGTGGTAAACTAAACTGTAATCACTCACAGGAGGTGGGGGAGTGGAATGAATAGATATTATGCAAGGGAGTTTATTCTATTGTTTGACTTAAACGAAGTGGGTTGAGTAGTCCAGCAATGACTGTCTGCATGATGGAGAGCCTGAGAACCTGTTAGCTGCTCCGTCTGTGAGACTGAATGCTCTAGCAATCCCATTTGGCACAGAAGGCCTGGAGGACTACTGCAGAGCTGCTGGTCTTCAGTCCACACTGGAAGGCCAAAGCAGTTTGGTTCCAATGGTAGCTAAGGATAGATACACTCACCAGCAAGAAGGGAAGAGGGGCAAGCAAGCAAGTAGGGCTTTTGCTTCAGATCTCTATATAGATGACCACAGCCTAAAGGTACCACACATTCTGGGGGAGGAGGAGCTTAGCCCTTCAGTTAATCCTTCCTGGAATCACCCTCACAGATCTGCCCAGATATGTCTCTTAGTTGATTCTGGATCCTCTGATGTTGACAATCAAAATTAATTATCACAGTCTCCTATCTTGTGCTTCTATTAAATGAACACAGTTGGACGATCTGGCTTTCCAGGTCAATCTTAAGTCCTGTCCTTGGCTCCCATGTGTGGGGTGGAAAAAAGTAAATGGATGCTTGCGATACCTCCCAAAGACAGTGCAGTTCAGGAACACGGTCTTATGGACTGGTTACCCTCCCAACACTCCCTACTGAATACCCTTAAATATTTGAATAACTCCTTATCAAACTCATTCAGTATGTGAGCTTGTGCATTTCCTTGGGTGCTAATACGCCTGTATCAAAATGGCAAATCTACCTTCATGTTTATGTCTCCAGGTTTAAAGAAATTCTATTAGGCTTACCTGTTGAGCAACTGACATTATATTAACATATTAACAGTAGATGCAGAGCCATTTATTTTTAAATAGTAGTATATATATGTGTGTATGTGTATGACTACATATGCATATATATACAAATATCCTTCTCTCTTTACACATACAAAATCCTCTCTCTGTGAATATTCTCCATACCTCACTAATCCTACAGTATTACCATTGCTGGCATTGTTTCTGCTTTAGATATAAGAAAACCAAGGGCTGGAAATATTAGCTACCTTAGCCTAATGTCTCCCTATTGATTCTCTGTCTCACAGTCTTTTCTCTGTTCTGTGCCAGTTGCAGTAAGCAGGAATCTATAATCAAACTTTACCCAGAGAAGCTCAGAGTAGCCCCAAAGGATATCACACATTGGTCTTTGGGTCATGTGCTGATTACAGCTATGCTCAGCATGGTTTGGGGGAGACCAGGGTTAAGAGCAGTACCACATTCTGACTGTGGGACTGTGGACAAGCTGCTTTAATGCTGTTTCTCTTATTTTAACTGAGATGACACCTTCCTGGTGGCCTGTGGAGAAGATGGAAAGATCTGTTCCTCTCTCCCCATCTCTTTTCTCCTTCCTGCCATCACATACAGATATCTAATAAAGGGGAGCTGTCATTATTCACTGCCCTTGCTCCCATATTTTCATAACTGGGCCACACTAGTGACTTCTATTTAGGTTTCTGAATCACACCCAGAACCTTCCCTTTTTCTATTCTAAATGCAACATCCTCCAGGAAGTGCTAAACTCACAGCATCCCCTACAACTATAAAAGTTCTCTTTGCCACTGAAGGAAAATTCTGTGCCCCACATATGATGCCACCCACACACCAGCCTTTCCAACCATTGACTTCTTGGCTTGTTTTCATAGGTGTTTGTGGAAATATCCCCAGTGAAGAAAAGAATAGCACAGCAAATTCTGGCATATTCTGTACAGACATCTTGAGAAATAGGCATGGGGTACGTATGTCACTACACATAAATAACCAGGACAGAAACATTGAAGGACAGGAAATGGTTCAGGTGCAGAGCTCATTGCCCAGCCAAGGGCCTCCACTCAACCTTCTACCATTAAAGGTATGTGTCCTTTTGGTCTATATTTTAGAACCTGGGGGTAGAACAGGCTGTAGTGTCCAGCCAAGCTCCCATGTCCTTGATGCTCCATGCCCAGTATCTAGTCACATAACCCCTATGGCCCTCAACTTCTTTGTCTATGAGATGGACATAAGTTCCTGCCCAACATGAGGAGAAGGCAGAACTCCTGACACAGTGACTGAGTCACAGGGCTCAGTGATGGAGCCTCCAATGTCCTTTCTCATTTTGACTATCTCAGATAATGACAACATGAAGAAATTGATTGCTACCTTGGACAGGGCATGGGACACTAGGTGTCTTATAATCTTGGCTTTTAATTGGTCCTCAAGCTGATAACTCAGTAGCTTTGGTCTTGACCATGCCTCTTGGAGCGAGAAGATAAAGCACAGCCTTGGCTTCAGGATCTGCTCTGTGTTCCCTGCTGTCTCTTAGATACTGGGTGGGACAGTATCTCCCATTCCTCCCCCACCCAGGTTCACTCTAAAACCTTTCTTCTGCTCTGAGCCTTGCAGCTGATGCTCATAAACTGGCAACTCTCTATCTTTTGGTTGATTCTGCCCGGAAGTTTTGGCAAGAGCCTTCAATTATTACACAAATCAGAATGAACATGTCACTCCCTTGTGCAAACAGTTTGTCTTGGCAGCAATTAAATTTCAGGGTGATTTTTGAAGGTAGCTTTCAAAGTATAGCAGCCTGGATGTGATAGGTGCTCAATAAATGTTGCATGACTAGATGAAGGAAGGAAGGAAGGAAGGAAGGAAGGAAGGAAGGAAGGAAGGAAGGAAGGAATATGTCTTACATGATTATTGTCACAGTACCAAGAACATTGCCTGGTACATGGAATGATCTCTTCTATGAAGCATTCAACTACTATAAAGTCAAGCCTCAACATGGCCACTCTTGTTAGGAATGGCCGGAAGTCCTGTTAAGGTTCGACTCTGCCTCGAGAAGTGGCTATGTGCTTGGCTGGCCACCATGTTGTCACTTGGTTGGCACCTTGTGTTGAGTGCTCCAGGAAGCACCTAAACAGCTTCACTCTAATGTGGATATTTGCAAAGTGAGTGCAGACAGGAGGAATCCACATTTATTCAGCCCCTGCCATGTGTCGGCACATTTACAGTCGCAGTTTGGAGGGGAGCCTTGTGTGCCAGTTCCGTGGATTAGGAAATGGAAACTGAAGAGTCTGAGAGATTTACGCAGGGCCACGTGAGGAGGAACTGATAAAGCCGAGGCTGACTCTCCTAGCTCCCGTTATTTCTGGGTGCAATGCTGCCTGCTCCTAGTAGCAGGTGATGGTGAGGAAGTACATCTGCACAAGTTGCACAGATATCCCATGTCCTGACTTTTCTGTTTGTTTGGGGCAGGGTGCTGATTCTTGTCCTCCACCACCTCGAGAATCCAATGCTGGTGAAATCTACTTTGTGGAGCTGGTTAAAGAAGGTGGAACTCTTGGATTCAGTGTGACTGTAAGACTTTTTAGGGAGCTTGGAAAGCAGTAAAAAGATACCCATCCAGAGTCTTCGTGGGCATTCCACTCTGATAATGTACTCATTTTGTTTAAGTGGCCCGTTGTAGATAAGTGGGTGAATGGAGCTGTGTGGAATGAAGATTCAAAGACAAACTGGGAGACAGAGCAACTTGAGGTTGAGTTGTAGACAGTTGCTAAGGAAGAAGAGCAGAAGGAGGTGGTATGAGTGGGACTGGGTGATGTGGCCTATCTCTGAGCTTGACAGTAGGAAGAGGTCAGTAAATGGGACTTCATGGACAGAAGCCAAAAGTGAGTGGGGTAATCTGCTGTCATTCCAAGCAGGAGTACAATGAACTCGTGTCCATCCTGAAAGATCTAGGACAAGGTTCAGCCTGTGAGGCTTTTGCCCAGCTTGGCACTCGGCATTTAACTTTTGAGCGCTACCTGGCAGATGTCTGAGGAGGGAGATTCCCCATGTAACTTATCACCTAAGGTTGTGGGGAACAGTGCCCATAAAGGTGGTACGCACAAACTCAGAAATCCAAAGTTAGAGGACATTGCTTCTTTTAGTGAGCATTGAATATGACCCAATACTCAAGATCTTGAACTGGGGCTGGATTTCAGCGATGGTGTTGTTAGATTCAATTGTTGATTGGAAGTAAAATGGAATTTCCCAGCAGGTAAGGGCAATGAAAACTTCCACAGGTAACTCTAGTGATAAGTGAATGGAGCCCATTCTTTGCTTCTCTCCAGGTTAATGTTCTGTATCTGTCACAAAGACCCTTGAATGGCCAGACCATCAGTAGATTTTTTTTTTCAATTTGGAAGTTTTATTAGTGTTAAGTAAGGAGTTTAGCATACAAACCATGGTAGATAAGGCAGTAATTCTGAAATAAGAGCTGGAGTAACATAGGAAGTCTAAGAATGGCAGCTATATAAATGACTAATGTGAGAGTAATTAAAATATTAAATACAACAGAACAAAATCAGGAAGATATTGGGGGATTTAAAATTTCTAAGCCTTAGAGTGTAGAGAGATGGCTCAGCAGTTAAGAGCACTGGCTGCTCTTGCACAGGACCTGGGTCGGATTCCCAGCATCCACATGGCCGTTTACAACCCTCTATAATTCTAGTTCCAGGAGATCTGATGCCTTCTTCTCACCTCCATGGGTGCTGTATGATACAGGTGCACTTACATACATGCAGCCAATACACTCATATACATAAAATAGAAGTGATAAATAAAAATTTTAAAAATTAAATAAATAAAATAAAATTTCTAAGCCTTATGTGTTCTGAAGAATTATAAACTTTTAAAAAGAATTTCAGACTTTTATGCTAGTTATCTCTTTTTAAAAATATTTTTATTGAGCTTTTGTATGTATATTTTATATAACAGTTCTTAAATCCCTCCCCTGTCCATTCTGTGCCCCCCCCCAGCTGAACCTCATGTGTAGATGATCTTAAACATCAGAAATTAAGACTCAGGAGTCCATAGGGACTGAACAGGCTGGGACCCAGGATAGTCAATTTATTCTTGGCTTTGGAAAATAATCCTATCATCAGACACCAAACATAGCTATTTCTCATCTTAAAAACTTGCTAAATTTTAGGATTATTCATATATATGCATATGCATATGCTAAGAGGAAGTTGATTTCTTTTGACTGGCAAAAGCACTGCTTTTCTTTGGAGAATTTTCATTTCAAAAATAATTATTGAAATATCTTATTCAAATCCAAATGGTCATTGAACAAATAAAAGACATTCAAACCCATGAAAACCTACTGGAATAAAAGTAAGTTAAAGGGAAACTTTAGAATTTATAACTGTCAGCTTGGCCAAATATAGCTGGTATGATACAGAAAAAGGCTACTGTCACACAAAGCCAGTGGAAACGCAAGTAATTAGATGCACATTCACATTGGGATGCAAGCTGGCATCATGTACTGTAATGAAAGATGCAGATATCTCTGGGCCCATAGAAATAGAAAGATGGACTAAGTAAGGGTGTGCATGTGAAGATGTTTATTGCAGTGTTGCTTATAGTGGCAAATATGTTGGGGAGAATGATTACCGATCAATTGAGGAAAGGCTACATGCATTCTGAAACAGGCACACACAGACACCAATCTGCTGTCCCTTAAACTATCGAATCAACACCAGCTTTGGTTACATGGAAAGGCTTCCATGAAGTACTTACTCATTGAGCAAGGATGCACTATGAACAACGCTATGAGTTCCTATTTTTGTGTAACACATCACTTAACTGAGTTTAAATATTTGTCTGCATAAGAAACAAAAAACACTAAATAGTATGGAATGAACTTAAAACCTGTTTCCCTAGAATAGGAGAATTGCATAGTCCACATGTAAGTACAGTAAGTTTTTCTAAATGAGATGAAAGAGCTAGACAGGTAGAGAAAAACCCCGAAGTCCAGCGAGGCAGGCGAGGCTGTGAGAGCTCACATCTGCACCTAGATCGTGGGGTGGGTTGTAGGCCCTTTTTTGGTGGTTGGCCACTTTGAAGGTTTGCACTAGCAAAGCTAGTAGTGTAGTTCCAGAGAAGTCTTGTGTTAGTTGCATGAAAGTTCATCAAGCTTTAGGGTCTGTGTATGTTAGCTTTCCATTGCTATAACAAATACCAGGAATTCAATCAAATTATAAAGAAAAAAGGCTCTTTGTAGACAATTTTAGAGCTTTCTAGCCATGATCAGTTAGTCCTGTTGCTTTGGGGCTGTGGTGGCATATCATGGTAGAAGGATGGGGTAGAGTAAAAACCTCTCCTCCATAGCCAGGAAGTGAAAGAGAAAGGAAGAATGGGGTTCCATGTTCCTCTTCAAGTGAACACCCCAGTGATCTGAAGACCTCCCACTGTGGTCTGCCTTTTACAGGTTCCAGAACCTTTGAATAGCACCAAGCCAGAAGCCAAGGTTTTAACACTGGGTTTCTGAGGACCATTCAAGATCCAAACAATGACAAGGTTAATTAGATGATTGGCTTGACTGGCTTGAATTCTACATGATTATATAAAGAAAGATGTTAAACATGCACCCACTTATTTCTGTGTTACCTGCAGTGGGGTTGGGAGCATCAAGAAAGGGGTAAAAGACCACACAAGAATGCTAAATACCATTGACAAAATAAATATATGTCTTTTTGTATACCTATATAAAGTAGATTAGAAGAAAGTGATAGAGTTAGATCTTCATCTTCTGACCTGTAGGGTATTCATGTGCTGTTGTCAAGTTAAAAAAAAAAAAGTTGCAGGGTCAGACATGGTGCCTATAATCCCAGCATTTGGGGACAGAGGCAGGAAAGGATCTGAGTTAAGGCCAGCATAGACCCTGTCAAAATAAATGAATAAATAAATAAGTAAACAAATAAATAAGGGTTGCAAAATACTGTGTAGTTTATTCCTATTTTTACTTCTAATTTTGTATCCACAACATACACACAAACACAAGATGTGCCAGGCACAGGCCCTCAGGCCTGTGAGCAAATCTCCCATCGCTGCTTGCTGCTCATACAGATTTTATGCATCCTACATGACTCTAATTATAGAACACCTGTCATGTGCCAGGACTGGGACTTAGCTTGGCTTGCTTCCCTCAGCTTGAATTGTTACGGTTTGTGTAAAACTGACTTTATTGCACATTGGAAAAGACAGTTGGAATCTGCACAGGTGAACCGGGAAGACAGCGTCAGACAGAGATGAGGCAGTAGGCTAGATGGCAGTTGGGAGAGGCTCTCTTGTGAGGGAGGTCTGGAGGTTCACGGGAGGGCCAGATGGGTGGTGAGTACTGCCTGTGTTTTGCAGGGTGGCATTAACACAAGTGTACCCCATGGCGGAATCTACGTGAAATCCATCATTCCTGAAGGCCCAGCTGCCAAGGAAGGACAGATCCTTCAGGGTAAGACCCAGGTCATGCTGAGAGCTCTGCTTTCTCTGGTAGAAAGAACCCTGGCTGAGAGTGGCAGCTCAGCCTTCACCTATTCCACTCTGAACCTCCTGTCTCTCAACCTGATTTCCTCACCTAGGAAAGGAGCAAGTTTACCTGCCCCACTCACCTGATAGGTGGCCAGGGTTGAGACGCATGAGGTGAGGTAGGAGATTTAAAAGAAGTTTGTTGATGGGAGAGAGAACTGCTTCCTTAGGAGGACAGAGGTTGCTTTGGTGATCACACTTGGGGGCAACCATGAGCTTTATACCTAAATTTCTCTAGGACAGACCTGGCATTGGTGACCCCACCTTAGCACAGGGTCGGGGGCATACTGTGAGCTCTCTCTGTCCTCTGGAGGACAGACCTGACATTGCTGATCCTACCTTAGCATTGGGGGCAGGGGGATACTGTGAACTTTCTCTCTGCTTTGAATCAATTCTCACTGCTCTGAAGAAAGTGAGTGAATTTTATTTTCCACTAAAACTGCCATAATTAAACCCCAAAAAGACACCAATGATCTTATCTCTAGTTCTCCTTGAATTCTAGTGTTCCCAACATCAACCATTGTCTTCCTGACCTTTTCTGAAATAATAAAACATCCTGGGGATATAAATATTACCTGGGGATGAAAATATTCTATAAAATGATTTCACAGGAAAGCAGGAAGAAGGATAGGGTGACCAGAGCTGGTTCAGCCATCCTGTGAGCCAACAATAGACAGGCTTTCGTGTCTCCGTTCTATGCCTCAGAAAGAGGGGTGGGGTATTCAGAGAGGTAGCTAGTGTTCAGGTCCAGGCAGGCTCCTGCTGAGCCCAGGGGCACCTGGCAACTCTGCTTCCTGCTCTCTGGCAGGCTTCCTGGAGGGATCAGCAGGAGCCTTGCAGAAGAGTCCTTCCTGCAGCCCCAGGGACCAGGAACCTAACTTGCATTCCTTTCCCAGGTGACCGGCTCCTGCAGGTAGATGGAGTAAGTCTATGTGGCCTCACTCACAAGCAGGCTGTGCAGTGTCTCAAGGGCCCTGGGCAGGTGAGTGCACCCTTACTGGAGACCTTTTCTTCCTTCTAGAGCTTTCCAGAACATTAGAAGTTACAGTTGCCTCTAGGGGGGCAGGAGAAAGGCAGGCAAGAAACAAAATAAGGATTTTTCTTTGTCTTCCTTTCTTTTTCCTTTTTTTTTTTCTTCACTTCTTCCTCTTAGCACTACATTTCTATGGGGATGTGAAACCCAGGACGTAGCAGACAGATGTTTCTAAGCAGAAAACCTCACACCTTTAGTAGCTTTGGACAGCTTACAGTCTGCTTGCTTTCATTTAGGCCTCAGATGGCAGAACAGAACTGAAGGAGAACAGACACTTCTCCAGACTGGCTCTGGCTGTACCTTCTGCCTGCACCAACCTTGTTGACCAGGTGTCTACCTACTCTCAGGCCCTCTGTCCTTGCTCACGATGACCCATACTTCCAAGTTCATGTCATTGTCTGTCTCCCTGTGCTTTCACTCACCAGGGCCTGGGCTGGGATTCTTTTCTCTACAAGGAGGCAGAAATTCAAGATGCTGAGAGCTGGAGATGTTCAGTGTCCTCCCCCTCTCTCTCATCCCCTCATATCTTGAGAACAATCATAATTTCTTAGCACTGTCTGTTTATTAGACCTTTGCTAATGCACATGGTTAGAATATCTGGCCACTAGCACAATGACAGGTAGGAACTGTCACTGTGGGGTCATAGGCCTGGTGCTGAATGACAATCACAGCAGGAGGATGGAGTCAGGGTCAAGTACTCTGAACTGAAGCTTGAAGCTTAGCATTTCTAACAAGCTTCCTGGGGATGTCCAGCTCCTGCTTCTTGAACTGCTTTGGAGAAATAGGACACAGAGTGCTATGGGGAAGGATAGGAACTCCAGCTACAAAGAACAGAGGAGGGCAGGTCTGCATGGGCCTGGGATGCCATTCCATGGCTTTGGGGTTCAGGCGACAAGACACAATGGAGACTTTAAAAAAAAAATTTATTTATTTTTATTTTATGTGTATGAGTGTATTGCCTGCATATATGTGAGTGCACCCATGTCATGCAATGCCGTGGAGGTCAGAAGAGGGCTGTTATATGCTGGATTCTGAATAAAAATCACCAAAACCATTTAATTGAAAGTAGCAAGGTAAAGTTTTATTTCAGCCAACTGGGCTGTCTATGTCGGGAATAGAAGCAGCCGTGAACACCAGTCGGCCAGAATACAGAAATACAGAAAGCAGAACAAGTGGAAAATCAGGTTTATACAACACAGCAAAATTTGAACATAGCAAACTCTGAATTTACCAATCAACAATAGGTCATTGTGCAGACACGGGCTTGGGTAAGCGAAGCAGGTTTACAGAAGTGAGATAAACGGTTAGTCAGCTACCGGCCTAGATTATAGGTAAGTGAAGCAGGTTTAGATAAGTGGTTAGTCAACTGCTGGCCTAGATTACAATACCCTGTGGCATGCGGTCAGGCCATTTCTCGGAATTCAGAGTGCTTCTGCCTTCTAGGTATGTTTTATAAGTAGGGTAAAAGGCATTTCTTCTAAAATGGCTGCTTTGGGCAAAATGGAGTAACTTAGGCTAGGTTAGTTTAGCTGAGCTAGTTCAAGGGCTTCGGATTCCCCTAGAACTGGCATTAAGAACGGTTCATAGCTGCCATGTGGGTGCTGGGAATCAAGCCCGGGTCCTCTGCAAGAGTGGTCAGTGCTCTTAACTGCTGAGCCATCTCTCCAGCCCCAACACATTGGAGACTTTTAACTTAGTGTTTTCATGTTCAGTTTTGTATCTTAGACCAACCTGCTAGTAGCCATGCTGAGAACGTGGATCAAAGGAAATAAAGTTAGGCTGGCAAGCCAAGTTAGTCTGAGCTTACTACTGGCCACGTGGCAGTGGAGAGGGAATACAGGAGGAGCACTAGGGGAGTTGATTCTGATGGGGGAACTCATAAGCCTTAAAAACAAATGAGTATTGAAGGCAGGAGGGGAAGAGCTGAAGGACCCCAAGTGTGGCCCTTGAGAACTTAATGGGGTAGGGGGAGCATCTCCATGCTCTGATGAACCATATGCTTGGAGAGTTTGGGTAGACTGAAGAGGGGAGGGGAGTAAGAAGGTGAGCTTGGGAGTGAATGCAGTGATATGGAGGGACATGTTACTTCAGAGGCACTTACCTAATGACAGTTTGAAATACCAATCTGGGCCCACAAAGGGCTAGATTGGAGAATTTGATTTGAGAGTCAAATGAAGCAGCTTATGGAAAACATCTAAAAAATGAGTATTTGTACAACAAATGGAGTGGTTGCTGTGTGAAGTGTAAATTAAGTTTGTCCACCCATCTTTCTAGGTGGCAAGGCTGGTCTTAGAGAGAAGAGGCCCCAGGACTGCATTACAGTGTCTTTCTGCTAATGATAGGATTGGAGATGCACATATGGCTGTTTCCCTGGTAACAGCTGGGCCTGGCAGGCCTGCGAGCTGTGTCTCAGTGACAGATGGTAAGAAGAGAGAGAATTGCGTGTTACTATTGTCAAGTCATTACATGCTGCTTTTGAATTGTCAAGTCAAAAGGGAAAGGCAGGAAGTTTTCTCTGGGTTAAAAAAAAAAAAAGCCAGCAGCGTAACTCATGATCATCAGCCAAACTGGTGGAATCCATTGCTTGAGACAAATACATTGTCTCAAAATGATTATCAGCCATAATTCTGCTTCCAAGCCTTCTCCTCCTGATCACCTGCATGAATATTAATGTTTCTGCATAAATATTTAGGAATGAAATTAATGTGAAAGGATCATGCATTTTTCAGATATAATTGGTTCCATATTACAGCCAGGACACTTGTAACAAAGCCACTTGAGGACCGATTAAGCAAGCTGAGAGATCAGGCAACCAGGATCTAGCCTCATCTTAGTATCCTTTAAAGAAGCAAAGCCATGAGCAGTAAATGGGGCATGCAGTACACTTCCTGTTGAGTTGCCTCTCTGCATGTCCCTGTGATTTTGTTTCCTGCTATGAAAGATCTGTTATCTTAGAACTTTGTGGTGGTTTAGAACTTAGCCATATTCCACTCCTTCCATATAGATTTTTATGGTCCTGCTACAGGAAGTGTGAGGCAGGTTGGATGCAAAATGGCACCCCTTATCCTTAAATCAAGTCTGCCGATTCTTACCTCAACTTCTCTGTGCACGCCAAAGCGAGTCTTTGAAAAACTGCAGACTGAGCCATGGAGGCCCGTTTGGCAATGATGGACTTGGTCATGCCACAAGCCTCTACTGTCTTCTTCAGCCACTCCCTTTCTTGCTCTGGTGGAAGTTTACAATTCAAGGACCTATCCCTCTGTTCACTGATTGCCTTCTGAGTTGGTAAAGGTAACTTGGGGGAAGCCAGAAGCCCCTTTGGCTGCTAGACTCCTTAGCTGCCCAAGGCTGTGTCCATCTCTGGCCTCCAAAGGTAGCTGTTTGATCTTATGATCAGTCCACATGACTAAATAAAATCGCAGGGAAAACATTGTTCCCAGAGTTGACATCACTGTCCCATTGTCTGGCTACATAAAAGTTGATGTTGTGTTCACTAAAACATGATTAAGATTTTAAAAGTGCAGTGCATATCTGGTACAGGTTTTACTTAATGTTAACTAGCATTCTGTGCATGTCTAAAACTCTATCTTTACATATAAATTTAACTGATCATCTATATTTATACTCAGTATTTAGAAACTTGTTGAGTATGACTGTTGAACATTAAAACTTGGCAATCCAAATGGATAAAGTGTAGAGTTTGAAGACTTAGTTTATAAGAATGAAGACTATCTCATTAACATTTTTTCTTGTTTATTACATATTGACACCATAGTAATTTAGATATGTAGCCAGTCTCTAACTTAGGGTGGTCTTATGTATATTTGTTGACATTATGATAGTGTAAAGGTCACATGTATTAAGAAACCACACTTTGAACTTTGAGTCTCTCCTTGAGATGCTGGGAAGTGGTGGTGTGCTGTGGTTTAGTACCACAGTCCCCAGGAGGACACTCTGTAGTGTGCTCTGTTGCTAAGCTAGCAAAACTTGAGGGTTATGTTTAATCAGTGTGCTCTCTACATACAATATTTCCAACTTAGAAGGGGTTTACCAGGTTGTAATCCCTTTTTAACTTGAGGAACATCTGTATTGCAGTAAATACAATATATAATTTAAGTTTATTTTACTTGTTTCCTTCCACTTTAAAAAATGTAGACATGGAGCTGGAGAGATGGTTCAGTGGTTAAGAGCACTGACTGTTCTTACAGAAGACCTAGGTTCAAATCCTAGCATTCACATGGAAGCTAACAACCATCTATATCCGGTTTCAGGGGATTTGACACCCTCTTCCTTCCTCCTCAGGAATTGCATGGCATGGGTGTACTTACACACAAGCAGACAATACACTCATAAAATAAAAATAAATTAAAAAAATTAGAAGTGTAGGTATTTGAAAATTTTGAAAGAACCTTTGTGGTTTGTATTTATAGTTCAGATTGTATCTGTGGGGCACACTGATCTGTAATGTATAAGGGACTCTGCCATCAAAGTTAGCACATGAAAATTTTCTATGCAAAACAAAAATAATTAATCTCCATGACAACTTGGATGTTGAGACTGGTCAATTGTAACCTACAATTGTTTTGACCAACATCCCATATTACAGGCCCTAAGTTTGAAGTCAAACTGAAAAAGAACAGCAACGGTTTGGGATTCAGTTTTGTGCAGATGGAGAGAGAGAGCTGCAGCCACCTCAAGGGTGACCTCGTGAGGATTAAGAGACTCTTTCCGGGACAGCCAGCTGAGGAGCATGGTGCCATTGCAGCTGGTGACATTATCCTGGCAGTGAACGGAAGGCCCATAGAAGGGCTTGTTTTCCAGGTGCTGAGGGTCCTGGGGGGTGTAGCTCTGGATGAGGGCTGATGTCAGCCATGCTTCTCTGAGGATCATCCCAATAGAGAATAGAATTGAAATTCGCACCTGAAGTTGGACTTGGGTCCTACCAAAAGCAATTGGCAGGATATGCCTCATTTAATTTTCTATCTCAGTTTTCTTCGAAAAGTACTGCTTTTCAGCAGACTCCTCAGTGAAGCTGAATAGAAATCTGGATTATGTGCTGGCTAATGGTCTCTTCATGTGTATTCTGGGAGATGATACGAAGTTGGAGGGGCTAGCCAGGGTCCCTTTTCACTCCCCTAGCTGCTTCTCTGCTGAATTTATAGCCTTTTTAGTATAGAACAGATTGTCCCACCTGTGATCAAATATGAGGGAGACAGGGAAACAGGGAGATCAGGACAGAGAGAAATAGAGAGAGTGAGAATGCCAACACACCCATTCAAGGGCACAGTTCAATAACCTAACTTCCTCCAACCAGGCCCCACTTCCTGAAGTTTCTACCACCTCCCAACAGTACCATGGGTTGGAGACCAAGCCCTTAGCACAGGAGCCTTTGGGTACATTCCACATCCAGACTTGAACAATGCAGTCTGTGGCAGTCCTGGGCAGTTGAAGGGATTCTGCAGAGCATCTGGATCAGAGGTTCTCAAGCAGGCATGATGTTACCTCTTGTTGGATGTTTAGCAAGTCCCAAGACAACTGTGCTTGTCACTACTGATAGATACTGCTGTCATCTTGTGTATAGAGTCCAGAGATGGTGCTAAACATTCTTCAACACACAGTTCATGGGTCCCAACAAATAATTATCTAGCCTAAAATATGGATAGTTCTGGTACAGATAGGAAACAGGGACTATGAAGACACCTTCTGCCCCAAGCAGTAGGAGAGTGGCTTGAGTTCAGGTTCAGTATGGTGGAAGCTTAGGCTGTAGTGCAGAGGGGAGCAGGTGGGAGAGAACAGCCGAGGAAGGGAACAGCAGGTAAGCATAGATTCATGGGCCAGGGAAGTGGCTCAGCAGGAGAGCTGCATTTTGGAAAGGCCACCCCTGGTCATTGTAGAAGGAAGAACAGGTGGAGTTATCAGAGAAGGCAGGGAGTAGAAGTCACTGCAGTTCCACAGGGAGCATTCCTAGGCCTGCAGCCTCACCATGAGACTAAGAATCCCTCTGCATTGCCATTGTGAGGGCCCAAGCTGCTGTCCTTGGTTCTCGGTTCCCGGCTGGCTCTTCGGCAAGTTGGGCTCACAGAGGTATTGTGTTCTTCAGGTTCTCTGGAGCTGAGAGCTACATGTCAAGGCAGGAGAGGAAGTTGCCTGGGGTGATGGTGGTGGTGAGGGCAGTGGGCAGCATATACAAGCAACCTCCAATAAGGCTAGCCCCAGATTTGATTGTGACTCTGGGTTTCTTGTAGGAAGTGCTCCATTTATTGCGAGGGGCCCCACAGGAAGTCACACTCCTCCTTTGCCGACCCCCTCCAGGTGCACTGCCTGAGATGGAGCAGGGATGGCAGGTAAGGTTCTGATCCTCTGCTCTCCTCACCCGTCCCTTCAGCCACTCACTCTCCAGTCTGCTTGTAGGGAGTGCTCAACACCAACTCCATGGGGCTAGAAAAACACCTGGCCCTCAAACCTTAGTGCACCTCTTTATCTCCCTATTCCTGCCTCTCCCAGGATTGGGCCATCCCCTTAGATGCGTAGATAAATGTTTAGACTTTGACCATGAAAGTTTTAGGGCTCTGTCCTCTGGCAGCCTGAGCATCAGAGATTGGGAGCTGGGAGCAAGGAGACACAAAACCAAGGCAAGGGAATTTCTTGTAGGAGTTTCCATGCTGAGGAATGAAGTGGAAAGCAGGATATATAAACACCTCCCAAAGCAAGAAACAGATACAGATGAGTGCAGAGCCACTGGGACCATGGAAATTTGGGATCTTTACCTGGATGTTTATGTTAGTCTGGTTCTCCAGGAAACAAGAGAGAGAGAGAGAGAGAGAGAGAGAGAGAGAGAGAGAGAGAGAGAGAGAGAGAGGAGAGGAGAGAAACTTATTGTAAGGTCTTAAGTAAATTCTGGTCAGTCTAAATTCTATGAGGCTGTTTAGTAGGCTGGAACCCACGGAAGAAGTGTAGACTGTGATGTAGAAGAGAGCAGGAAGGAGAGAGTATCCAGGAAGGCAGTGGCAGATGAGCACAAGTTCCGTGTGGTGAGTTGTATAGTTGGGGTGATAGACTAGTGAAGGACTCCCTTTTTTTCTGAGTTTAGGCTAGACTTCCACAGATTGGGTAAGGCCTACCCCCTCTTAGAGATAATTCTGTTTTATTCAATGTCTACTGTTTCAGCATTAATCATACCTAAAAAAAAATCATTGTAGTCACATCAAGACTGATGTTTAATCAAATATCTGGGTACCATGGCCCACTTAAGTTCACACATGAAATGATCTGTCACCTCTTGGGGACTCTGTATTGGATCTCCGGGCAGAGATGTGAGGCCAGCTCATAAGGTTAGAAAAGTTGGATTTGGGAGTTATCAACATATAGACATATGTAAAGGTGCAAAATGGTGGATACCATCTTGGGGACACATCAAGAAAAAGGCTGAGAAGTCATTAGCATTGAGCAGTCTGATACAGAGAAGTGAGGCTGAGGAGAAAGGACACCAGGAGGGGTAGAGCCAGTAAAAAGTTGAGGGCATTTCACTAAGCAGGGAGGTACCAGCTTTGCTGAGTGTTGCTGAAAGCTAGGTGCTAAGAAGGCAGGGCGGAGAAGTACCCTGTGGCTTTAGGAAGAGATAAGTGATAGGGACATTTCCCTCAGAATTTTCCATGAAGCAGAGCAGAGACATGGATGGCTGGTGGGTGAAGATGAAGGGTGGGGACAGCCCGGTTGTAAGATGTATTGTGTGAGATGATGGAAGATTCTTAGCTAAGTGAGTCTATTCTCATTGTGAAGTACAAGGTGGAGGAGGGGAGGTTGCGGGGGACCCAAGAAAGATGGGAAATCATCCAGAGGAAACAGAACCAAATGAGAAGGTAGAGAAAGGTATCTGGAATCCTTGAATGCCCATTGCCAGGCATACAGCTGGCCTTGATAGGGCCAGAGGCTCAGAAGCTGGAAGGCCACACAGTTTCTCTGAGAACTGGAAAGGGTGGGCAGGGTGCTCCTGTGATAGAGATGAAGGCTGAGAGGGGTGAGAGGAGAAGCTGGAGGTTTTCTTTATTTGTAAGAGAGTGACATGGGGAGGAGGCAGAGTCAAAGGAAAAGTGAAGATGTGGGTGGTGGGAATACAAAAGCAGCAGAGATGGCAGGCAGGAAGCTGGAGAGAGACCTAGATGGAGTGAGAGGGAGGTTCAAAGGGACCCAGGAGCTCTCTCCCAGGAGTAAGAATGGCATAGCCACTCTTTGTTTTTTTTATCTCATTAATTTAAAATTCTGATTTTGCTTATACTCTTTATAATGTACACAATCTATCAATGAGGGACTGGTTATGATTTGTAATGAGATTTAAGTGTGCACCTCTGTGGGTGTCCCCTCTTTAGGTGGGTGTCAGAAAGGCCCACCCCAGTGGGGTTTCTTGGTGATAGATATGAAGCTTCCTATGAGATCAGGGTCTGGAGCTCAGCCATGTGCTCTATGACGCAAGGGATGTTGATTGCGGGCTGGAAATGCTGACCTAGTTTTCAGGAAAGGTAAAATTCCAACTCTCATATAGTTGTAAACAGAAAAACACATCAAAGATTTTCTTTAGCCCATTCAAGTAGGGAATCAGGCAGATGTTAAAACTGATTAAAAATACAGATTCAAAAGAGATAGCAAAGACTAACATGCTCATTTATGGAGTTGCAAAATAAATATTACAAATGCAACTGGAATCTGACAGCCCAGAATATTGTGCTACAGTGTATAGCTTCTAGGGAAGCATTGTCTTGCCACAAAAGGTTAAAGAGCAGTAGCAAGTCACAGTAGGTTATCAAATCCAGAACCTAAAAGGCCACAGGGCTGTAAGCAGCCGAAGAAAATCAGGTCATCCCTGGAGAAATGGTGTGAGGACCATGAAAGAGCCTAGTGCTGAGAGGTCATGAAGTCTCTGATAACAGGTAAAGATGAAGAAACCTAAATTCTTATGGGAAAGGGGAATAAAAAAAAGCATTGCTTTTCCACCTCTTGTTTTCATTGTGTCTAATTTGCAGATATAATAGTCCCCCTTGTTCACAGAAGAGATGTTTCAAGGCCTCCAGTGGATACCTGAAACCTTTGGTAGTACTGAGCCCCAGATGTACTATGCCCTCTGGCATTGCCACATAGCTCCAGAGCCAATCCATTTTTCATGTTTCTTCTTTGCATGACTCTCTTGCGATTTGGGACCATTGTTAACTAAAATGAACATAAGTGCTGTACAACTGATCTAAGCCAAGATAGCTCACCAGTAATTAATGGGCAGGTAGTGTATATAGCATAGAAACATTAGATAAAGAAGGGATGACTCATGTGCTGGGCAGGATGAAGTAAGAGGAGAGTTTGTCATGCTACTCAGAGCAGTATAGAGTTTTAAAGTGATGAATTAATTATTTCTAGAATTTTCCATTTAGCACTTTCAGGCTCCAGTTAAGTGAAATTGTGAAGAGTGAAGTCATGGGTAAGGGCAACTGCTGCTTTTTTCATTAAAAAATAGTGCTCACATTCTCACTATCCTCAAACTAAGGTGCTTGAAGATAAGATTAAGTGCATTGCCTAGAAGGCAGGTACAGGATCTGGGACCCTGACTGAGGTGACTTTGATTTCAAAGTCTTTCTCTTCACAGTTCAAGACCAAAAGCACCTGAAAACACTTTTATCTATTTTTTTCATAAATTTTAATTTTATGTGTATGAATGTTTTGCCTGTGTGTATGTAGATATATCATGTGTGTGCAATGCCCATGGATGCCAGAAGAGAACATCAGATCCCCTGGAACTGGAGTTACTGGCAGTTGCAAGCCACTGTGTGGGTGTTGGGAACTGAACCTGGGTCCTCTGTAACTGCTGAGTCATCTCTTCAGTCTCAACTTTCTATTTTTAAAACTTTTCTTTCTTTATTTTTTGTGTATAAGTATATTGCCTGCATGTACATAAGTGCACCCATGTCATGCAGTGCCCTTGGAGGTTAGAAGAGGGTGTTGGGTCCTCTGGAGCTGGAGTAACTGATAGTTGTTAGCCATTGTGTGGTCATGTGGATGCTGGGATTTGAACCCTGGTCTTCTGCAAGAGCAGCCAGTGCTCTTAAGCACTGAACCATCTCTCCAGTCCCACTTTCTACTTCTTTTTTTAAAAAATATTTTATTCATTATTTTATCATTTTAATTTTATGTGTATGAGTATATTGCCTGCATGTGTGTAAATGCACCTATGTCATGCAGTGCCCATGGAAGTCAGAAGAAGGTGTTGAATTCCCCCAGAACTGGATTTATAGACAGTTGTTAGCTACGATGTGGGTGTTGGGAATCAAACCCGGGTCCTCTGCAAGAGCATCCAGTGCTCTTAACTGGCAAGACATCTTTTCAGATTTTTAAAAAAATATTTTCTTTGGGCTGGAGAGATGGCTCAGCAGTTAAGAGCACTGACTGTTCTTGCAGAGAACCCGGGTTTGATTTCCAGCACCCACATGGCAGCTACGAACCATCCTTAGCTCCACTTCCAGGGGGAATCTGAAGCTCTCTTCTGACCTCCACAGCATTGCATGACATGGGTGCACACACATACATGCAGGCGATACACTCATATACATAAAATGAAAATAATAAATAAAATATAATATTTTCTTTATTGTTTTTATTTTTTGTGTATGAGCGTGTATTGCCTGCATGTATGTAAGTGCCCTTGGAGGTCAGAGGAGGATGTTGGATCCCCTGGAACTGGAGTTACTGATGGTTGTTAGCCATCATGTGGGTTCTGAGATTCAAACCCCAGTCTTCTGCAAGAGCAACCAGTGCTCTTACCCACCAAGTCATCTCTCCAGCCCCATTTTCTACTTCTTAAAAAACAATTTTTAGAGTTTCTTCAATGTGTGATGTAACCACTAACCATTCACATTTCTTTTAATAGACTCCTGAACTCTCAACAGACCAAAGGTTTACCATGGCAACCTGTACTGATTCAGAGCAGAGCCCCAGCCTAGTTAAAGAGGGCAACTGGAGGGACAGTGCCTCCTTGGACACAGGGAAAGGCATGGGTCCCAGACCAGAGTCGTTCCATAAAGCTGTCAGAGGTGTGAAAGGGGACCGAGGCAGAGAGAGATCCTGGGCTGGGTCCTTGATGCTTCCTCTGGAGTCTCCTCCTCATTTGTGCAAACTCCACCAAGAACCAGAGTCACCAATATTGACTACCTCTTTGGAAAAGGATATGAGGCAAAACTGCTATTCCGTGTGTGATATCAGAAGACTTGGAAGGTAAGACTCACCGTGTTTGCAGACATTTTACAAAATGTGTGAGTTGCATTGCCAGAAGGTTATGGTCAAGAAATCACTGTTGTTAGCTGCCATGTAGGTGCTGGGAATGGAACTGGGGTCCTCTGCAAGAGCATCCAGTGCTCTTAACCGCTGAGCCATCTCTCCAGCCCCTAGATACAATATTTTAAGCAGCTGTGCCAGCCAAACAGAAGCCAACTGCTTTGCAACACAGAAACAGAATGAGCAAGTGTATCCATCAGTGATACTCACTTTCATTATCCGATAAGTAATATATAAACAGTGTATTTATAGTTCCTTACAACTGAATTCTGGCCAGTAAGTGACATGTTTGATAAATGACAAAGGGAAGAACCTAGAGATTGACCCAAGGAAGGCCAGCCATTGGGATGCTCCTGCAGGACACAAGAACTCCAGCTCCCTGTAGGTATGGAGCCACTTGATTAGTTTTCTAAAGGTTCAAAAATTATTTTTAAAAATTTATTTTATTTTTATCTTATGTGTGTGTTTTGCCTACATGTATGTAAGTGCACCATGCCATGCAATGCCCATGGAAGCTGGAAGAGGGTGTTGGATCCCTGGAACTGGAGTTGAACGGTTGTTGGCCACCATGTGGGAACCAAACCCAAGTCCTCTGTAAGAGCAGCCAGTGCTCTTAATTTCTGAGCCATCTCTATAACCCCTAAATTTTATATTATTTATTATTTATTTATTATTTATTTATTTATTTTTCCTTTTGAGTGTTTGTGTGAGCATGCACCAGCCAGGGTTCATGGAGGTTACAGGACAAATTTTGAGAACTGGTTCTCTCCTTGCACCTTGTGGTTCATGGGAATCAAATTCAGGCCATCACATTTAACAGTAAGCACCTTTACTGCTGAGCCATCTCCCCAGCCCTAGATTTCTGAAGGTTTCACTGCCAGAGAGTTTGTGTTGGTGCACAGGGACTCTGACAACTGGATTATAAAGTATTTCTGGGTTCAAGTGCAAGAGTAGTTAGATCTAGACCTACCAGATGCTTTTAACTCAGTATAGTCAATAGTTAATTAAAAAAATTTTTTTGATCTATTCATTTTTATTTTATGTATATGAGTGTTTTGCCTGCATATTTGTAAGTACACCCATGTTGTGTAAAGCCTGCAGAGGCCAGAAGAGGGATTTGGATTCCCTGGAACTGGAGTTATGGGTGGTTGTTAGCTGCTATGTGGGTGCTGGGTGTCGAACCTGGGTCCTTTGCAAGAGCAGCCAGTGCTCTTAACCACTGAGCCATCTCTTCAGCCCTGTTAATACAATTTTTTGACTACTTATTATTAGCACAGGCAATCACTGCTTTCTTCATGGCTTTATAGCATATCAGGTTTAATATAAAAATCTCCACATTGAAGCATGCTCTGTAACTTCTTACAAGAATGGCTCCTGGATTTTACCTGAATGTTTCCAGAAGTACACAGCTTGCTATCTCATGAGGTGGCCCATTCTATCACCATGTTCTTATTGGTCAGAGAGTGCTACCTTACATTAAGGTAAAACCTACCTCTTCATACTCTACTTGCAAGTCCTGAGAGCCATTTCCTCTGAATTTTTTGCTATTCTACTTTTGCAAGAGAATTGCATTATTCTGTTTTTCTGAATCAAATTAAATTTGCCTTATTTTCAAGGGCACACCACATAGCCCAAACGTTGTTTTTGGAGGGTATCTCCCTTTTGAGGAGCAATAAGAGTCCTTCAGGCTTGTCCACAACATTCTAGTGAGGTCTTTATTTTTTGTTTTGTTTTTTTTTTTTTCTTTTTGAGACAGGGTCTCCCTGTAGCCCCAGCTGTCCTGGAACTCACTATGTAGACCGGGCTGGCCTTGAACTCACAGAGAG